GAAGAGTCCCTCCCCAGCATCCTTGTAGGCCCCCTTCAGATACTGGAAGGCTGCTATGAGGTCTCCACGCAGCCTTCTCTTCTCCAGGCTGAACAGCTCCAGCTTTCTCAGCCTGTCTTCATACGGGAGGTGCTCCAGTCCCCTGATCATCCTCATGGCCCTCCTCTGGACTTGTTCCAACAGTTCCATGTCCTTTTTATGTTGAAGACACCAGAACTGTACACAATACTCCAAGTGAGATCTCATGAGAGCAGAGTAGAGGGGCAGGATCACCTCCTTTGACCTGCTGGTCACGCTCCTTTTGATGCAGCCCAGGATACGGTTGGCTTTCTGGGCTGCAAGCGCACGCTGAAGCCGGCTCGTGTTCATTTTCTCATCCACCAACACCCCCAAGTGCTTCTCCACAGGGCTGCTCTGAATCTCTTCTCTGCCCAACCTGTAGCTGTGCCTGAGATTGCTCCGACCCAGGTGTAGGACCTTGCACTTGTCATGGTTAAACCTCATGAGGTTGGCATCTGCCCACCTCACAAGCGTGTCAAGGTCCCTCTGGATGGCATTCCTTCCCTCCAGGGTATCAACCGAACCACACAGCTTGGTGTCATCGGCAAACTTGCTGAGGGCGCACTCAATCCCACTGTCTGTGTCAGTGACGAAGATGTTGAATAAGACCGGTCCCAACACCGATTCCTGAGGGACACCACTTGTTACTGGTCTCCAGACGGACATTGAGCCATTGACCACAACTCTTTGTGTGCAGCCATCCAGCCAGTTCTTTATCCACTGAGTGGTCCATCTATCAAACTGATGTCTCTCCAATTTAGAGACAAAGTCAGCCATTAGCCATTTGGAGACAGTCAAGCCATTACAGAACAGATGCACTTGACTGCAGAAGTCACTGATGATAGGATTTGCAGACAAGCACACAGGGAGGACAATGCTGTCATATTTAAACTTCTTCAGAAGAGAAGTCCATTCAAACAGTGTTAATATAGAGAGCAGCTACTGCTCAGTTAGAGTTCTGGGTTCCTGATGAATATCAACTTAAAGTTTGCTAACAGTGAGAATCGGCAGTTTCTGACTCAGCTTATTAATGCAGAGCTCAGGAGGGAGTGTTAAACCATCACTTCGTAACCTGAACAACTATTGCTAGAGCCAGGCTGCATCCTGGAGGTACTCTGGAAGAAAAGCATATTTTCTGTGTCTCTTTTTTTATTGTTGTTGTTTTTTCCCCTCCTCAAAATAAAACAGTAGGGTTATGACACATTCGGGTACCATCAACTCAAGCAACACTTCTAGTAAAATATGTAGTTCTATCTATTTGAAATCAGCTATTCAAAGGAATCAAATACAATATAAAAAGACACTTTTTTTCCAGTAATCTCAGCCTGAGGCTTTTGGAAATTTTGTAGGTAATAAGCAACTGACACTATCTCTTCCTCCCCATTGAGAACATGATATAAGCCAGCCTGGCTCAAACTGTCAGTATTTCAAGGAAAGCAGGTTTTCCCCAGTGTGATGAAGTTATATTTCTTCCCCACATTGCATTGAGATCTACAACCTCACTGTCTTTTAAGAGTTTGCCCTTCTTTTTTAGGGTATAAAAGCTTCAATGACAGAAAGAAAAATATTAACATCTATAACACTCCTAAATTCTCATGAGCCTTTGTCATGCATGTTAAATTTCAAGATTACTGAAGTGTCTTCGAAACAAGTGGTTTTCCTGCTGAGCTTTAACAATAATAAATACAGATTATGCAAGCAGAATCAAAAGTTTTAAGCAAGCTCTTATAATACAATGAAAACCTGAAAATTTATATTCCAGAATGGACAGAACAGTCCATTGAAGATTCTCTTAACACATGTCTATCTGGAAGTCATTTGCATTGCATATTCCCTGTGTCCAAAGTATCTAATTGTAAATTGCCACAACCATCTTTAAAATATCTTAATACTGAAAGTACTTTACTTGAACAATGACATTTATAAGCAAGTATTTTAGTTTTTCTCTGTATAGTCAAAACCTTTTTGAATACTACATGAAAGGAAAACAGTTGTAATAGGATTACTGTTAGGCATTGAAAACTTGGAAAGCACAAACTCAGTTCAACAGGTTAAAAGTAAACCTAGTGGAGTCAAAAAGTGTTGGTTTTAAATAGATAATTTGGGCCATACATAGAAAAGTAAGAACAGATATGCTCTGTTCTATTGTTCAAAGGAAAGACTCATAGATTGACAGAAACACCGTAGTACACAGGAAGTCATAGCTCAATGAAAGCAAACTCCAAATAAGCAATACAGGAAGGTGATTTCCTTCACACTGGAGTTAACCTCTTTTAGAACAAGAGTGACTTTATTTGGTTTAGTGTAAATTTCGAAGTGACAAACTCAATTAAAGTTACCTGTATTCCAGAATAAAAGTCTCTGCACAAAACTTATAGCTGTATCTGGTCAAAATCATGCTCAGTCTTGCTCCGCCATGACTTTTCTGAACAAGCAGTCCTAAAATGTGGACCCATCATGATCATGATCAGTGTAATGCTTGCTTTTATGGAATATATAGAAAGACTGAACCCAAACATTTGCTGACAAGTTTAAATCTAATCATCTGTATGTACTAACATGTCTAATTTAATAAAAAAAACAGTTATTAAAAGCTTCTTTATCATTAATAGTTTCCCAAGAAGTTCTGAGGTCAGTCAGTAACCCCACCTATTTCCAGAAAAGTAAGACGAGAAGTTGTCATATAGATTCTGCTCCCTTTCAGTGCAAGTAAAATATGAAGAACAGAAGCAGCATTAGATGAAAGCTTAACTCTCTTTAGGGGTAAAACAAAAGATACTCAACATGCCATAGGTTAACTTTTGATGAATATTTGGAAATAAATTTAAAATACTAAGCCTGTTTTTTTCTTAAATTAATATTTTGAAAAAGCAGAAGTCGGTTTCAGAGAGCTATGTTATTCATAGCCATTTCATAAGAAGAAGGAATTAAAATTAAGACTCAAACATTTTGCTTCCTCATTTCTTAAGCATGGTTCTAAATAAATAACAACAAGACTCAATGTTGATGATTTCTTAATATGCATTCATTATAAATATGTTTAGTCAATTAGCACAGTATTTCACAGACCACAGTTGCAGGGCTGGCAAGCTGAAGATCTAACATGGCTCACTGGCAAAAATACCATTTCACACATTGTCAGTTTGCTGGTACTGGAAGAGCAATCAAACCAAGTTCTTCTCTGCACACATGACAACAGTCCATGTAAAGCCAATCGACTGATACTACTTAATGAAGTTTCGCACATGCAGAGAAACAGAAATCCAGTTCATTCTTCCAACTGGCATCAGCCCTACGTCTCTAACAAGTAATAAGCAAGCATTCCCATTTTAGTCATTTAAAAAACCAAAACAGATACCCAACAACCTGAAGAGCAAGTATCTCACTGTCAGAACTGCAAATACGTATTTCAAACACCCACAAAACATGGCATTATATCTGATGCCTGTTCAACTCTAGCAAAGTGATACTTCATATTTTCCTAGCAAAGAATATAAACCCCTAATAGGTTTCTTTGGGGAACGCTGTATCACCCTGCAGTACTAACTTTGATTAAAGAGAAGCAAAATACAATCTGTAACTTTCAACTACCTTCTTCCTTTCAGGTACCCATTCCATAGCTGAGATAAAACCACCAAGTGTCACACTGTAACAGCACAGAACTGCTAATTGTTAACAGTAACTGGAAAGACAAGAGTTCAGCCCCAGAAGAAAGTTCAAAGAGAGTTCTCTCTACCAAGATGACAAACATCTGACTTAAAATAGGCAGGTGTTATAGTAAGAGTCTGTAAACATTAACAACTTAACAGTAGCCTTATTACATAACTTCTTAAACATCACACACAGCACCCTCAAAACCCTACACTGAATATTTGTTGCCTGGGAAAGCCTTCCCCCTCATTGGGGCAGTGATTTAGAGAGCAGAGTATATGTTGTGCTTTCTTTAGAGTTCTTACTGTTGCCCATACTGCAAACAACAAGCGCTGAAGCAAATGCCTCAGATGCTCAACGGTCTTACTTCATCTATTAACCCAAAGTGCAACAGGCAGATCTTAAAATTCTGCTGAATTAAGGTGCTGAAAGGATCAGAGGTTATCCGTTCCTGCTATTTATTAGTACATTATTAGTAGTAAAAACACCTGAAGATATATGGACTCCTCAGAACAGAAATAGTCATTTCCACTTCATGGGTAATGAGACTAAAAGCATTTTAAAGTCTAAAGCTACAGTCTAACTATACAAAGTGATGTAAAAGTAAAGAAGAATCAGCAAAAAAGCCTGTCTCTTCACCAAGTTTTCAGTCAGCAAACCCAAACGCCTTTAGAAACATAAGATGCTTATAAAACTTTGTACAAAGCACTTACCCTACAAGAAGTTTAAAAAAAAAAAGAAAACTCACAAGAACAAAATGCAGATTGTTAACGCAGACGTTTAATGAACACTGAGCTAATCGTTCGGAAAGTCAGCAGAACTTCGACTCCGAAGACAGAATTATTAGAATAGGTCTTGTTACCTGAGCAATCTCGTGGATCACAGAAATAGCAAAAAAAAAAAGGGGGGGGGGGGGGGGGGGAGGGGGGAACAAAGAAAAAAAGGCACAAATTTCACACTTTCCCCAACCTCACTCAGCCACCTCCCCTCCAAAAAGAAAACAGGTCTGCCACATTGCCACATCCCCATACGCCGGGGCTGGGAAACACTGGTTGAAGGGCAAGAAGGTGCGCGTTACCTGCCAGCGGCCGTAGCTGAGCAGCAGGAGCGCCAGGGGGATGGCGGTGCCCGACATCGCGTGAGTGGAGGGCATGCTGTACTCCGAGTTGTAGAACACTTCCAGCTTCACCACAGGCGGGGAGGCAGGCCGCGGCCAGCGGATGACATCCTTGGTGCACTGCCCCAGGTACATCACCCATACCCAGATGATGATAAGCCTCCGGCCCAGCCAGGCGTCCAAGTTCCAAATGCAGAAGGGGAAGAAGAGGATGTAGAAAAGCTCGTTGCCGAGCTCCGTGCCCAGGCTGAAGAGATAGTAGAGGAAGCGACTACGGGTGGAGAACTCCTGGCTGCCGTCCTCCTCCGTGAGGGAGTTGCGCCGCGGCCTCCTCCACCGCTGCGGGGGACCCGCCCCAGCGGGCACAGTCCCGTTCCCGGCGGGATGCTCCTCCCCTCCCGCCCGCCCCGCGGCCGGCGGGCTGCCGTTAGCCACCGGCCCCCGGGCTCCGGCTCGCTGCTCCGCATCGGCCCAGCCCGTAGGCCCCTCCACCCCGCAGAGCCGTTGGAAGGCGGCCACTTTCTGTGGGTCTTGCAGGTGGGCGGCCAGCCGGGACAGGCGCCGGCAGAGAGCCATGACTGGAGGACGAGGCCGCCCGCGAGGGGCGGGCCGAAGGCGGCTAGGTTCTGCCCGGGCAAGCGGACGGGAAGCTGAGGGGGCTTCGCTTGCGGGGCTGCGGAAAGGACGGGGTATCCCGTGCGTGCGGCGGGGAAGAGAACGGTTCCCTCAGGAGAAACCCGCTCGAGGGCGAGGCGTCGCGGAGCGCGGCCACCGCCCGGCCCGAGCCGCCACCACCGCCCTCGCCTCAGCCCGGCTCCCCGCGCCGCTCTGGTGCCGGCTGGCTCGATCACTCTCTGTCGATCTCCCTCGCGCGCGCGCGACGGCCCGACACCGCCCCTCGCCGACACCACCCCGCCGCGCATGCGTACAGCAGTCGCTCGCGGGTGCGGGGACCCCCGCAGGAAACCTCATCGCAGTGCGGATTGGCTGCTGCTCTCTCCCGATCCCGCCCCTCTGCTGAGGGGGATCCAGTCAGAGCTCGGCTTTGCGCGAGGCAGCGAGCGGCGTGCCTCGGCCTCGAGCGTGAAGAGCCGAAGCGGGTGCGGTGGTGGTGGTGGTTGTTCTCCGCTGGCTGTTAGTCTGGCTTGCGGTCCTCAGCGAGCCGGTTGCCCTTCCTTCGCGTTTACGGTGAGCCACTGCTGCCCTCGCCTCAGCCACCGTCTGGCATCAACACTGAGGCCCACGTCTGGCTGCCTCTGCCCTCCTCTTCCTCCTTCTCCCACTGCCCGCGTCGACCCAGAAGGAGGAATCTGGTGGTATAAACATGAGCGGGAGAGCTGGTTTCAGACAGAGACTGTGAGTGGTCTTGACCCTGGCAGACAGGCCGTTTAGCTGTGGGGGTGGTGAGTTACCCACAGGGATGCAGAGCTGACAGGCACTTCGGGGGGGTCTGCAGGGTATTACGGGAGGAGGTTCCACGCCTCCCTGGCTGGGCGTGCATGGCTTAAAGTTCAGCAGGACCAGAACATTTGCAGTCAGGTACTTTGGAAGTCCACCGTTGCTGGGGTTTCCATCCTAGAAATGCCATGAGAAATGAAAGCTTCAGTCACCAGCGCTCTCTGATGCTGCTGTTTTAAAAAGAGTGAGCTATATGACCCAAATGACTGGTTAGCTTAATAGCTATCCTAACCAAAATAGAACATCTGATATAGAACTTAAATAATTAAAAGTTGAAATTAAAGAATATAACATAAGTCTACACAGTATTTTCGTAAAAACAGATATTAACACTGTTCTGAAGAGGTACTTGACTCAGACTTAGTGCTTCATGATACTGTTACTAGCATTGGGTACATGCAGTGCCAGTCAACCATGTAAATGGAATTTGCTGCCAGATCTCAAGAAGAGGAAGAGCTTAGTTGAAAGAAACGGTGTCTGAAGACGTTCCAGGAGTAGGTTCTATGTTGTACTATATTTTAGCAATGATCTGGAAGCAGGTCTGAACCTGCTGCTGCAAGAATTGAACTGCAGGATTAATGGAGTCATAAATAATGGTGAAGGTGGGCCAATGATCAGAATGGTCGGTACAAGCAGCCCATTCAAATGTCACTATTTTAATCCGGCAAACTATAAAGTTGTCTCTTCAGAAACTGTGGAGGCTGTAACTGGAGAATAAAAGACTGTAGCCTGGGAAGGTAATGACTTTGAGAAGGATTTAGGGGTCAGAATAAGCAAGCAATCAGATAAGGGCTGTCTTGTATGCGGCTATGGCAGAAAAGGATTAATCAATATATAAACAAAGGAATAAAAAAAATCTTTATTTTACCTCTCATGTTTGGCCTCAAAAATGTCATCCATGGGATAGTGCATACAGTTCCAGTTTTCAGATTTTAAGAAGCATGCTGGAAAATAAGAAAGACTGAAGCAAAATGTTCTGATGGTTAGAGAAAATGCATTACACTGGGAGGTTTTAAGCGCTCAGGCTGTTAAAATTTATCTCAAAGTGGACTGGGAGGTGATTTAATTGTAATGTATAGGAATATTCCTGGGGGAAAATCCAGGATATTAAAGGGCTCTTTAATCTATTGAAGAGAGGCATAATAAGAAGTAATGGCCAGAGGCAAAAGCCAGACAAACTCAAATAGGAAATAAACCACACATTTTTACACCAGAACTCATTCCCAAGAGAAACTGCATATTTTCTATCGTTTTATGTCTTCTCTTAAAGATAAGATGTATTTCTGAAAATTATTTTTAGCTGAGCAGAAATTATATTTTATCTGTTGAATGAATACAGTTTGAAATCTGATGGTCCATGGTATACATAGTGTCAGGTTAATCTAATGGGACCATCATGGTTTAAATTTTAAATGCCAGAAGCAGACATTTTCTTAATAACCGTGAGCATTAAAATAAATTTTTATTTTGCCTTAAAATATTTATGTGCTGTAAAAAAGCTGATCTAAATTAAGCTTTTGGCAGCAGAATGCACTTACTAAGACAGTATCTAAAGGTTTTGACCTTTTGCTTCCTAAATTAACACTTTGGGGATTATTTGGAAAAATTTATCTGCTTTTTAATTTAAACTTCTGAAGGAATGGGTCCTTAGAAGTAATTCATTTGGTGCATTCTGATTCTCTTGGCCTTGAGGCAATTTTACATAATTGATGTTCACATTATAAAATATTTCTTGGAGAAATATTACCCAGAGTGCTCAGATAACAATGCACCAAATGAATCCTGATAAATTTCCTATATTCTACAATATGTATATTTGTATGTTGCATATGTTTGCATCCTACATCCTTAACCTCCCTTGAGGCATTATAATAAACAATTATCAATGGAGGAGCAGCTATTACTGGAAGAGGGATGAATGAAATGTAAGTAAGATTTCAGATCATCAGCTTGGCAGAGAAACATGAAAAAAACACCCTGGAAATGGTACATGATCAATTTTTCTATCTCAAGAACGTAAGATATGTTGTCATTTCTCTGCCTTCTCTGAGAAATGAGCAACACTAATCCTGTGAGGAACATGTGTTTCCTAATTTACGTGCTTCCCTGGCTCTTGAGCAGAAAATGCAAAGACAGGAGCTGAAAAACAAGCTGCTGCCTTCTTTTGTGCCATTTTCCCAGAGTCAAGCCACAAACAATCTCCCCTTAAACACAGAACCACTGAAATCTGTTAATTAACTTGATGATGAATTCTGGAACGAGATCTGAATAACTGTACAGGGGAAAAAAATGCAGTGATTACAAATGATGAAGTGAGATGTCTTTTTGGTATGTACTTGGGAACTTGAAAAGCAGAAAGTTTTTTTGTGTGTGGTTGAAACTTGTTTAGTTTGACTTTGAACTGTTAGTGTGAAAATTATGCAACCTAAACTACTGAAGGAGCTTTTAAATCACCTTTGCACATTTAAGCTAAGAAGCGATTGCAGTGGGCACTCCAAGAACAGTGTGGAGTGCACCTGATAATGGAACTTTTCCAGAAAATGTGTTTCTTTGTCCTGTCTGCAATAGCTGGCCCCAAAGATGTTCTGAATACATTTCAGGTTACTGCACAAGTGCTGCCATCTGAGCGTGACATCCATAACGCATGCATTTTCAGGGTTGCCTGGCAAACCAGCCTAATCACAGCCACATTCCCACAGGCTGTAAGAATTTGACATGACAGCTGAGGGAATCAATGGCAAATGAGGTGTACAGAATACATCAAGCTTGCAGCTGCTGCTGTGACCATCCTGCCCAAGTGACAAGAGCAGAACCAGGAGTTCATCTTTGAAGCAGAACATCTTGCTTGGCATCTATTTGGATGACCACTGTTTACTGAGTGTATTTAAGGTACTGGTTTTGCCTTGCAAAGCTTTAAACAATTGGAGACCAGTTTGAGTCATCAGCAGTCAGTTGTTTTCCTCTCCTAATATAACTGAAGGAGCAGGTGGCAGGACATTCTCTAGGACTGTGGGACTTATTTTCTGTCATCATCTGCAGTAGCTTGAATCAGGTCATCTTTTTGTGCAAAAGACATCTGTTTGATACCATTTTGTGAAGGAGAAATGAAATTATTTTCCAGAGTGATGAAGGATGCAAGGAGTATCAGTAGAGGTCTGAATGGCTAGTTTCCTGTTGAAATAATTATTCTAATGCTGCTAGGATTTTATTATATTATTAATGATGTTAAAGTGCCTAGAGTCAGAGGAAGGCTTCATTTTAGATTGTTTTGAATGTAAATGAATGTAAATCCAGTGAGAGCAGAATTATTTTAAGTTCTATTGGAAAAGCTATCATTAGTAAACATGTAAATAATGAACCAATGTATCACTTCTCTTAGATAGGTCTAACAAATATGTTAAGTCTCCATGGGTAAAAAAAGTTAAAGACTTTGGAAAGAATGAGGCTTGGTTCTTGTCTCTTTGGTATTCTGATTGCTATACTAAAAACTTTACCGACTGCAATAAAAGTAAGTTCAATGACTTGCTGCAATCCCCTGATTTCAGTTTTGCCTGGTTATGTATTTATTTCTGTAGGATGATGTCAAAGTTCCATATATAAGTGGTTTATTTTTTGTTTTTATAAAACTTTGTATTATTCTGAAAATTTGCTAAACTGTTCACGCACTATTAAATTGCTGTAGCATTTGGATATGATAGGGAAAGGTCACTGGATACCTCGGAAATCTGATCCGGTGGCAGATCAGACAAAGTGAACATGAAAGCCCAAACAATATTAACTTAGCAATAGCACTGTAAGCAACAAAAGCAAAAAATACAGGCTTTGTTTAAATGGTGGATGTTTGGCTTCAGAGTTACAAGCCTGGATTTCCAGGGAATGGAATCAGGTGGCTTTGCTGTGTTGCTATTTTAGCATGGAGTTGCACAGCAGCACATATTCTCATGTCACAAGACACTTCTTATACTGTCGCCTCATTCAGATGAGGGCTGAGTATGCCCATCATTACTGAATCTGCCCAGCTGCTTGGGTTGGGTTTTCTTTTTTTCTCTAGGTGTTTATATTGGCACATAATCTTGGAAAGGCACAGAATTTTAGTGACTAGGTAATTGTATGCAGATGCAAGGTGTACAATGTTGTTATTTGTTATAGCAAATAATAAGTAAAAAGTTAAAAATAAGTAATAAAAGAGACTGCAGCCGTAGGGTCTCCTCTGTAAAGTCATTCTAGGAATGCAGTTGTTGCAATCTTATCATTCTTCTCTGAACTTAAATCCATCTGTTTAACCATGTCCCATGCCATTTCAAACATAGATAGGGTGACATTATTTAAGGAGTGTTTCTATTGTGTTAAAAAGGAGATTATTCTGATTTTGACATTATCTTAAATTATTACATGTCCTCAATCATAGCATGAGAGTATTTTACAGTCATTAATTGGCACCTCCTCAGAACAACTCTATAAAGGAGTGGAATGTGTAATTGTCACCCCTGTCACTTTTCACCTAGGAATGAGATACAGATTTGGTAACAGTTTCAATATACTTCCATTTATTCCATTTTCCAGGTTCCTGTAATTTTAATTTTTAAATTTTGTAATCTACTGTCTGTATGGTGAGAAAATTGAGGTTTTTTTCCCCATGATGTCTCAAAGTGACTAACAAATCCTAAAGCAATTACAAACCCTTTGTCTTTTTGCCTCCTCATGCCAGGATTTGGAATTGAAAGCAACTGAATTTTGGAAGGTGGAGGGAGAGGTTGGTTGCTTTGTGGGTGGGTACGGTTTGTTTGCTCTGTCTACCAGGAATTAAATTGTATAATTGCTTGCTTTTGCTTGGAATAGCTGACTGTACCTTCATTCCCATGCTCTGCTTGATTATTCACACCACTTGTCTATGGAAGAGACATGTTATTAACCAGATGCATGCACCTCTTTGGGTACCATCCCTGTATTATTTTATAGCTATATTTTATTACTAGCAAGACAGCAGAGGAAGGGTAGAATTAAAAAAAAAAAATTTGTGCATAACTCTTTATCAACCTAAAGACCAGAATTAGAGGGTTCCTTCTTCCCCACATCATCTGAACTTTTGTGCTTATACAATACTTGCAGCCTTTTTATCACTGTAATTTCTGCAGATCCCTTAAAAGATATTTGTCCTTTAAGAAATGAGTAAGTTCTTTCATGCTGACTTGCATTAACTGCAATTACTGCATATTGGATCAAATTTTGTGTGCAAGAGTAGGAGTTACATCAGTGTCTGCAAGCCAGCTGTGCTGCCAGGGCAAACAACTGCTGAGAACTCTCACCAGCAGGAAGCTTCTTGTTGGAACATGCCAAGAGCAGCAGGGATCCCAGTTCCCCAGAGGCAGAACCTGCTTGCTGATGGGCCAGTTTAAAGAGCATATCCCCAGTCCAAGGATGAGAACAAGCCTCTCCACAGGGCACTGAAGAGTTGGGGTGGGGGCAGGACTCCCATCCGAGACAAGTGATCACATCCTAGGAGTTACAGCTTCATGAAGAAAAAGAAAAAGCAGCTTTTCAAGAGGCTAAACCTGTTCTGATTACTTGAACTTCTCAAAGGGGTGCACCCCACACTAGACCCAAGGGAAGGAAATAATGGGAATCAACCTGATTAGCGGATACAGAGAGTTTACCACGTGGCATCCTGGAACATGAGAGGCAGAGAAAGGAAACGTGTTCAGATCCTACCATCAGGCTCAAAAGCTCATGGGCAGGAAACTAGGCAAGGCATGTACATACCAAATGAATCATTAGGGAAGCCAGATTCGATATGATGAGAAAATCAGGATACAAAGTATAAGATATACAGCAGATGGGAATTTGCCTTAACATGCCAGATGCATGTTTTAATCAGTTCTGGACTTTTTTTCCTTGAAAAACCCCAAATTGCCAAGTCTATGAAATCAAGCCAGTTCATGTTCAAGTTATTCATCATTAGAGGAGGAAGAGTGAAAGCTTCCTTAGGCTTCTTTCTGACATTTGTTCATTTTCCATTCAAAGGTGGAAAAGAAGCCACAGTTTGGGGAATATGTTCATAATTTACACTAATTAGGAATTCTCTTGGGTTTCAGCAGCGCCATTTGCAGCGATAGCTGTTATTATACATGAGGTCATCCGTATTTGAAGATTTGATCTGCAGCCAATAAAAAAGATATGTGTGAGCATGTTTAGCACTGCAGTATTGTAACCCCTAACATTCAGACTATAATCTAGAGTCCCTTACACTCTTCCTGCAATTCAATGGAGAAGGCAGATGCCTTGACAGACAGAACAGGAAGTCTACAGGCTGACGAGAGAGCTGTTTGGAGTTAGCTGATAACAAACCAAATGTGAGGATGGCTGTGAAACTCAATCCCACACCTCAGGCATGACTAAAAGTGAGATACCTTGAATTATGTGTGATACAGGATCTCCTCATGGTAGTCAGTTACAAGTACTTTTATTAATAATTGGGTAGATCTCACTTTCTTACAGGATAGGATGCCCACTTTTGATGTAAATGCCAAGTGGGCAGAGCTTTGTCCTGAGAAAGGACCTTTCTAAGCTCCTTTAACAATGTGATAGCCAATATTAATTCATTTTCACTATGGTATTGTTTGTTGCAGGTGTATTGAGAACATTCACAACACCACCAAGAGCCTCCTTCATTCAATCTGCTGAAAATGCCAATGAGCCACCTCCCTCAGTCTTCCATCTTTGAGATATTAAGTGCTCCCAGTCCTGGGAAGGTTCTTCAGAAAAGGCCAGGTGTGCTCAACACACATGATGATACTCAGAATACCTTGCTTGCCTTACTGCTGCACCCTTTTCAAGGTAATGCAACCTATGCATCCCAGAGCAATTCAGAACCTGTATGGCAAGTATTTTGAATGTAACCAGTCGTTCTACAGGCTCTTGCTTTCAGGGTAGCATGAACATTGCTGCTTTTCTTAATTACACAGAAAGTGCTCAGAGTTATGTGTCTGTGATATTCCCTCAAATGTAAATTAACCCTTAAAGTATCAACATGAAGTAGTAATTAGAATTTTAGGGTGGTGAGTTAAAATAGATAGGGGTTATATGACTTGCCCTCAGTCATCCAGGTCCTTAAATAAGTGCATTTTCATGATGAATAAGTTCTACAGTACTTACTTTGGGCACCAGAAATGGATTCATTTGGCCAAGTTAAAGAAAACTACCTATAAAAATCGCCCACTGTGGCAACTGTCTGACCCTACAGGTATATAAAAGTTCCTACTACCTACTCATTTGTCCTGGCAGTTCTCCAGGTCACTAAACTGGAATGCCCATGGCTGCACAGGCAGCAGTGACAGGTGGGGCCAGGCTCTTGTCTGAATCCTGCCCTGGTCAAGGACAGCAAAGACATACCTATGTTCCAGCTGAATCCCTGGAGGAGCTTATTATGTTATGGACACTCGGAGCCTTGTAGAGCTGACTTCAGCCTTGTTCACAGAGAAGCCACAGGGTTCTGTGGAAAGGATGAAGAAAGAAGCACTAGAGCTTATCCTTCCCATAATAGCTTAATAAATGTAGTCATCTAGGGAGTGGGAAATCTTACTTCAGTTTCACCTTGGCCTGATAGGATGCAACCCACTCATGACTCAGAAGGCTGCTGTAGCCGCCAGGTTATGACAGAATCCAGGGCATTGCGTCTTTCATCCCTCCTCCTGAATTTACACTGTTGGCTGTAAAACACAGGGGGCTAGAAAGAGATCCAGCAAGGCTTTACATGACTTACAGTTTGGTGATTGGGATGTAGGATATCTACATTTGATGGAGCTTAACTGCTTTGGCTCAAAAGGGAGCAGAGGCACTTGATTAGGCGATCTGAATTGCCAGGTGTTGGAAGTTGCAATACTTGTATTGGAGGTCGCCTGAGTCCTGCTCTTGGAGTTTAGTGAGGTTAGTCATGTGACAGAAGTTAAGCAGATGTAGATTTGGAGTCAGGATATGTAAATGGTAGAAGTTGGCCAAGAACACAAGACTGCTGATTCACAGAGCTGTGGTGCAAGCATGCTTAAAGCATAACTTTAAGTTGCAGGAGTTCTGTTTTAGTTTGCCCATACATCTTGTGATATATCCTTGTGATCTGCTGTGTCTGCTGAAAAGCAAGCAATAAAATACAATATATAGTAAGAGAAGCATTTTTTAAATAAGTTATTAATATTTGGAGGCAGTGGAAGACTGCAGATTTTTTTTGACCACTGTATTTTAGAGAAAAAAAAAAATGTTCATAACTAAACAGGACTGGAGCAACTTGCAGTGTAGATTTATCAGTGAAGAGCGAAGAGCCTGAGTGTTCTAAAGATTGTTTAGTTTTGCACCTTTATTGTGTTAGAAACTACATACTGCTGATGAAGGGGCTTTTAAAACCAGCTGGGTCAGAGAACAAAGGAAGACAGAACACTATTCATGAAGGAGCTGGAGTTGTCACACTCATCCCAAATTTTGCAGTTTTTCTGGCTAATCAGATGTTTCTTCTCCTGATTTCTTGTAGGCTATATATGCTCACTTTCTCTAATGTGGTTTTGCCTCATGACTGTCCTGCTCTCCACCTCTGTATATCTAGATAGAGACATATACGTATGCATGTACACCTTTTTTATATGCCGCTTTGTTTGGCCAATACTTAACCCATGTGTAGAGTCAGGAAGACCCTCAAAACCCTCTTTGTTTTTGTGTCATAGTGTGTAGGGCAGAGCTTTTGCAACCGCAAACTGTGCAGCCGTTTCTGTCCTAGTCTTTAATCCTACCAGCACTGGTGGACTGCTCACACTTCTGGTCATATTATAATACCAGGGTCATATTGCTGCATCTTAATGTGGTTTTCTCAGTGGCAGCTGAAGGAGGGTACTGACAGGGTCGTGACAATGACAGTAACAAGGGCAAAATTGGATTTGTTCTGGAAAAAAAAAAAAATAGTCCAGACAGAATCACTCCTTTAGCAGAGTCATTTGTTTGGAGGATATGGTTTATAAGTCCTACCTAGGACAGAACTCTTCCTCATTTTTCCTAGTGAACTTCGATTTCATTAAGAAACTGGAGACACAAAGTGACCCACTTGCTTGAGGACACATGTCTTTGGATGAGTATAATTATCCAATACCATTTATACAACCAAATCATAAACAAAGTATAACTAAAATGGCAAAGCTTCATAGATAGAATTGCAGGTTTCTGTGTATGTAAATAGAGCTTTTGTCCTAGAGAAATTTCCAGCCTCTGAGTTCGCAAGATCTGGCGTTCATGCTAGCAGTGGCTTGCTCAGTGTTGTGTCCAAAGAGTAATGGAGAGAACAAGACAAACGCAGTATAGCAATTACTAACAGCCCTGTTTCAGGTGCAGATTTAATAGGAACACCTTCTTAGGTCAACAAAATCACCACCCTCCAACCACGACTATAATGAGACCAGGACTTCTGGCACCTAGATGGTGCAAGAGGCTGTCCATCTAAATCTGTTGCATATCATGTTCAGGGGAATCCTGGCCAACAGGACTTTGCTGAAGTGACAGACCCTATTGTTTAGCTAAATGACAACTGCCTGCAAGATTTTTAATGAAGATGATGTAGTTCCTTCCTGCAACGTAACAAGCTGGTTTGATTTTTAAAACAAGTGCTTGGAAAAGCCACGTCAGGCTCTTAATACGAGCTTGGTCTCTGTTGAGGTGCAGTCTTGCAGCACGCCAACAAACTGAGCAGAGGAGCCCTAGTGATGGCAGCTGCAAAGCTACAAGGAGGTATGGCCATGTTCAAGCCAGGAAGGCAAGTCAAGGAAGCAAAGACAGGATATGACAAAAGGACAGGCATAGAACGGCCTGGAAGAGACTTCTCACAGCTCTTTTCCCTGCGATCTTGTCCCTTCAAGGGACAGAGGTTACAGAGCTGACCCTGAAGATGGTCATCAAACCCCTCGGAGTGCCTGAAGAGGTTGCAGTGTGTTGATTTACAAAGGATCCTGACAGTGTGAAAACTAAAACGCAGTTGCATTTGTTAGGGCATGCAAAATACTTGCAAGAAAACCTGAAGCCAGCATAAAACAGAAATGTGAAGCCCAGATCAGATTTCTGTATAAACCTAGCTAAGTTTTATGATCTGTATCACTGCGCCATGTGTTCAACAAATCTGGCTTGATTTATATATTTGGCTTAAATGGTTTAAAGCCTGAAGTTTAAAACGTTTGTATAAATAGGCATTTACAGCCTTCTGGTTTCAGCTGCCTTTTTGCCACAATTACTAATATAACTACTCTTTTCATGCAGAGCTGGGGGAAGCCTGTATGCATGAACCTGGGTGGCATTAAAAAAAAAAAAAAGAAAAAAAGAAAAACTTAGAAAATGCCACCTTTTAAGGGTTATTTCTTATTTCTTACAAGGCAGTCTTTGTAGGCTTTCAGCATGAAGTGAGCTCTGAATTAAAGCAGCCACACCAGGCTCCCAAATGTGTACTTACAAAAAATACCTCTTTGTAATACCTCACCATCTGGAGAGGGTCTTTTTACAAGGGCATGTAGTGACAGGACAAGGGGGAATGGCTTTAAGCTGACAGAGGGGAAATTTAGATTTGATATTAGGAAGAAGTTCTTTATTGTGAGGGTAGTGAGGCACTGGCACAGGTTGCCCAGAGAAGCTGTGGTTGCCACATCCCTGGCAGTGTTCAAGGCCAGATTAGATGGGGCTTTAGGCAACCTGCTGTAGTACAAGGTATCCCTGCCCATGGCAGGGTGCTGGAACTGAATGAGCTTTCAGGTCCCTTCCAACTTAAACCATTCTATTATACTATGAGAAGTTTAATTTCCAGCGAAGATACCGACCGGTGCTGTGATTCTGCAAGGATTTATCCTTATGCATCATGCTCACACATCTCTTTGGAGTCATGTGGGTTGCACTCATTGCTGAAAATTGGACATACCTGAATCTTGGCAAGGTCGTAAAATCTTTTGAATGAGTTTTAAGAAACCTGTGCGACTACTGCAAACAGAATTAAGATGTAACTTCCTTTCTTGGTGTTGAAATAGTTGCTTAATGGGCCTCCAGGGCTCTCAATGGCAAATAAAGTCAAAGGGAAGCAAATATCTTCAACACCTCTGCAAGCCATTATCTTGTTAGCAGGCATAAACTGTAGCAAGCCCTTTTTCCAAACTGTGCTTCTGTACCAGTAAGAAGGAAATAAGGACACTCTTTTCCTTTGCAGATCATCTGATGAAAAGTGCCAGAAAAGCTGCTATCAATGAATACCTGCATTTGTGAATAATTTTCACATAGCCTTTCAGATGCAGGAACCGTGGTATCCATGTAGAAAAATACTATTACATTGAATCCACTGTTTTTAAATTATCGTTACAAATTAAAATATGAGGTATAAGCACAGTCCTTGATAAAAAAAAATCTGTTCTTTTCAAAAGGTGTTTTCACACTCTTCTCCATATGGTTTAGCTATACTCAAAAGAAAATTATTGAGAATATAGGATTATAATAACATTTGTTTGTTGTGCTAGAAAATCGATTTCAAAGTCCTTTACATGTCCTTCTAACTATACCAAAGCAGTAAAAAACATCACACCACAGCACCCATGTTTCCCATGTTTAGCATAAAACTGTTTCACAAAGGCATAAAAATATAGAATAGAATAAAATAATTCTGAAGATGATAAGAGAGGAGAAGCTTTCCAGAGGCATATCTAATAGAAATACTGACCTACATAAAGCATATGAAGTATTCCCATGACCAAGAGCCACAGCCTCTGTAGTGGATATCTCCAAGGGCTGGGGAGAAGGTTTAGGGCCTTTGTGGGCAGGAGGTGGCCTTGGCCTCAGTGGCTGGCAAGGCTGGGAGAGGTGTCCAGCTGCCTCCCACAGCAGCCCCAGGCTGTTACTTTGCTGTTCCCATCTGGGTGATGTCTCTGCCAGGGCTTGTACTAAGTGACAGGTATCACACAGAAACCCCTTTGTGCCCCCAGACCTGCAGCAGGTCAGGAAGCAGCCCTGGCACAGAAACCAGGCTCGCACTGCTCCTGTGCCACAGCTGTCTGCTCCAGCTTGTGGGCACAGTGACATAAGAAGAGTTGGTAGGAATTCATGGAAGGAAGCGTTTGAAAAGCGTGCAGGACTGGGATCGGAGTTTGCTTCCACAAGGACTGTTGGGCATGTAAATAAAGCTCCATGAGGTGGAGAAGGGACAAGAGAGTGTTTCACCTGAAAAAAAGTTTTGTATAAAGAGCAGAGCTGGCAGAAGAGTACAAAGTTTGATTTAAAAAAAACATCACAGGGCAAAATTTACAGATGTTGGCATGAGGAGGGGAGGCTGCAAAATGCTTACCCAGGGAGAGGGACATGGAACTGTTTTTTAATTACTCTGTCTGGGAAAAGATTATATAGAGATTAAGGGAAGCACATGTTTGCAGAGATAATACACCTTGAGGGACAGCCAAGAGATCAGAGGTTGTCCTGAGCTTTCCCAGTTGTCCAGTGCCTTTTAGTCACATACTGCGGCACTCACTGGTAGTGAAATACTGCCAGCACTGACTGGCAGGGTTATATTTCATGCTGTGCAGGTGCTTTAAGCTATGCTGGGCCAAAGCAAAAGCATGGATTATGATGAAAGGACTTGAGCATGACAAATCAGAACATTTTTTTTGTTACGATTACTGTAACTGGACAGTCTGTCAGTAACTGGTCAGTCTGGACATGCACACCTACATGGTATACTGCAGGTAGGTCAGGGTATGTCAGTGTGGCACACACTGGGATACTGCAGGTGGCTTTTACCTGTGCTCCATGCTCACCAAAAGCTGTGTGCCTGCATTCATGTGGTGCTGAGCCCCAGTAGAAAAGCCCCTAGGAGCCGATTACATTGATTTTGAATCAGCACCAACCTAATGTGGTAACATGGCTTTTAAGCTCGCTGCTTGGACAGAGCTCACTTGAGTCTGAGTGGGTTATACCATGGGCTGTTACACTATGTAAAGGCTGCGTGAAAGTGCTTGTATAATGAAAACAAATGTATTCTCAATTGCTTTATTTATTGAGCTATATTACTGCCGTTTTACTAAGTGCCAGTTTGCTGTAATAAATTTCATTATTATCCTCTACTTCCCCCAGAAATCTGCTGTTAGTCCAGGGCCTCTGGGAAAGCTGTGCATTGAAAACCAGTTGGTGTAAAAAGCTGTCTGCTACAATCAGGGCAGAGACTTGGATCAAAACAGTGCACATCAGCACATGGCAACCCAGAGCAAGTAGTGCTGCATCAAAACAGAGCAGCTCCCAGTGCATTTTTCTCAGCCTCTTGCCAGCCTGGGTCCATCTTTGCTGATTATCTGCAGGTGGGAACCAGCTGTTAGAGGTAATCAAGTTCAAATGCAGCTCTGCTGTTTTCTAAAGCAGGAACTTTCTCCAGCTTTTTCATCAGCAACTGGCTTTCATCTTTGAAATCTTATCTGATGTGTGTAAAATTAGTTTCAGGATTAGTCCCCCTAAAATTTGTGTGTTTATCTCGTGTGTTACTGTGTTCTGCCTGAAAGAGCTGTTGGTGCAGCTTTTCATACCACTGAAGGGGACTTGGCAGGAGAGAGGTTTGTGGTTTCTCTCTAGCCATGTTTGTAATGGAAAATAAGAGTTAACTATATGAAAGGAAAAAATGTCTGAAATGAATGAAAAAGGCAAATCCTGAGCTCACCTGCCAAACTTAATATCTCTGAGGTCTGTGTCTACTCAACCCAGCTATATTTTACTTCCAATAAAACACTTGTTACTGAACATGGCCAAACTTAAAGAAAAACTAGGGGGGTGGTTGGTCTTTTTTAACACAGCTGTGGATTTATGACCCTCATCCTTCCCCCCACACTCTTCTGCACTCTAGTCAATGAGCCCCTCAGGGCTTTTCTCTTTTTAGACATTGAGTGCTCCTTGAAAAAGATACTGTCAATAGCCAGATATTTGCAGTGTTTAGGTGTGAGTAAAGATCTGTAGTTAAAAGGTTTAAGTGAAGTTAAAAACCAGAGTTAAATATCTGAAAAGGCAAACCCTGAGACCATGGTGAGTGAGACAATGCATTTCATTAAATAGTACACATCCTGTTTCTGGGTTATTAATTGGTTTATTCTGATAAATTACAAAAGTGTCTATCACAAAATCAGACACACTAGTAGTTTGCAAAGTTTCATACCTATACAGAAACATATCTGAGCAAATACGCTACTCAAAATCTAGAAGTAAGCTAGCTAGCTGTAACTAACTAGAAACTAACATTAGAAGGATAAAGATATTTCACTGTAAAAGTATGGGGAATTTAAGAGTTCAGCTGCTGAAGGATTAGCTTTCTTCTCTCTTCTCCACCAGTTTAATTGCTGCACTTAAGAGCAGATTCATTGTACTTGTAGTGACCTCGAAGAAAGAAAGAAAAAGTACCGGCTGGAAAAGCCACCTAGTGGTATAGAGAAATGCTTCCAAGCAGAAGCAGGAGGCTCTGAGTTCCGAAGAAAGATTTGTTCTCATACTGGACCAGTGTGCTGTGGCATACTATGAAGGCTGTTTGTTATTACTCATGGGAGCCTAGAATGTGTATTACACACAAACAGGAAATCCACAGACATATTAAATACTTTTTCCAAAGGACAGTACTACAAAACTTTATGTTGGATCATTGCCTGTTCTATATATGCAGTGTAAACTACAAAATCTCATTTAGAGCTATTTCAGAGAATTAAACAAGGATGAATGAGTTTGCCCCATTTTGCTTTTCACCTGTCCAAATAAATGGAGGAGTTACTACTGTCCGCAGCCCAGAAAGAGAAGAAAGCCTATAAAGCATCTGCATTATTTACTTTAATCTTCATTATGTCATTGCTTTAAAGCACAACTTAATGTGTTTGTAGCGCTAAGGAATAGCTTTGGTTAGCTGTAGCTCTTTTCTGGATTCCCATGGTTGCTTTTTTTGAGGGTAATTTCTGCATCTGTTGGAAAGAACTGGGAAAGACACACAATTTGGGAAAGCAGAAAATCAAGCAAAAGGCTGTAGGTGAGGCAGATTCAAGACAGCACATGATCAACACGTGAAAGTCTGCCTCTTAAGAAAGGCTGAGAGCAGTTGGCAAATGATTACAACAGCTCCATTCCTTCAGGACCCTTCATCTCAGCTCAGGCAGTGAAGAATGAAGGCATACCTCCTCTCAGCACATCAATGATTAAACCAGAGCCTTTGTAAATAGTAATAGAATGGGTGGCATGTTCTTATCTACGTAGTCAAAATGCAAAGTTACGACTCGTATGCTGGAGGCTTGGTTTTTACAATGTCAAGATCTTTGCAGCTTTGTGCTCATTCCATAGTGCTTTCTCAGTTGTAGATTCATCTGTGAATGCACAGATCAGGGAGTTTTGCAAACATGGAGGGATTAGCTCATACACGTATGCAGCTATGCATATTGCTTAACCAGACCTTATAGGGTTCTTCAGCCTGTGCTGGTTGTGAGTGGGGATGGAGGGAGGGAGAAAGGGACACCATGCCAAACTACAGCTGGGTTATTGACCTGTTAGGAATTGTGGGACTGTGCAAGCAAACAGACCTTACTGCAGACTGCCTGTGACATGTGCATCTAGCTCTGAGGATTAAGCAGCCCGAGTCACTGCCTACCTCTAATGTAAGGAGCCATGGTGTGGGAAAGGGGGGATGGCAAAGCCCTATAAAAGACTAATATGAAAGAGGGGTCTATAAGATGGAGCTTCTCTAGGTAAATGGATTTTATCTTCAGAATTGGAAGCTTAACAAGTCAAGTTAGGCAATTAGAGTAATTATCCCTAAATGTTTAATTACATAAATGCATAAAGTACACACACACCAGGCCTGAGGTTTACTACATGTTGTAAGTGCATAAATGTGCCAATCTGCGCATCAAATAAATCACAGCATTTATGAAAGTGCACCAATAGAACTGCATCTGCTGAGCTAAAGGACCAGTGAAGACATGCAGGAAAGTACTGGCATTGCCCCAGCTGACATCTCTCCTAGCTGGTAGCTAGGGATATCAGGCTGCAGGAGCAGGGAGCAAGGACAGCTAACCTTACAACTGGCTTGTGCACAATGGGACCTGCTTCAAGTCATGGGGTGTTGCTCTGAAGACATTAATTTCTTCTTTCTGTGGCAGTTGGCTACTGTAAGCCTTTGAGGCACCCTTAAGGCAGGTATGGCGTGGGCAGAGAGAAACCTAAACCAGGGGCATAGAAATCTGTGGCAGAAACCTGAGAAAGAAGTTCTGGAAATATGCCCAATTTGTAGGGTTGTGAGGAGCAGCATTCCCAGCTTGTGTGCACAGACATTACACATAGCATGGAGTAAATTAGTCATCTTTCCAGGTGAAGGTAGAGAAACCTGTGTGAGTGTGAGAAAGCACACGTAATCCTCCCAGGACACTCAAATTTGGTTCTTCCTGCTTATTAAAGGTAATGAGAATAGGAGGGTAATTTGGAGGATGTGGGGGTGTGTGTCAGAGTGCCTGAAAGTGCTAGCAATTACAGATGGACTCAGAGCTCCCATACGTCCCCTGCTTTTCTCTGGTTCTTTCTGTTTGCTAAAGATTTCCAGAAGTGTGGCAGCCAGAATCTCAGTGGACAATCTCCGTGACCACTTCCTGCATGTCAAGACATCCTGCATGACTGTAGAACCTGCATGCTGTGCTGCACATGTGTACAGCCTGTCCTCTGTTCTTCAGAAAACCTCAGCCACTGGGGCACGTTCAGTCCAGCTGCTTGATATATGTCCCAAATGGATTTAGGAGCATCACCCATGTGGGAATCACCATCATAAAAAATCTCACATGATGCTAGTATCCTTGAGTAAGACTGGTTACAGGCAGAGCCGCCTCATCTGGCACCTTTCCAAGCTTTAATAAAGGCTTTTAAAAGACACTGGGAAGTCACTGTGGTTTGCACTCTGGTCACTGTGGTGATGGTAAAGAGAAATGTGGAAATTTCACGAGCAGATACTCTGATGAAATTTCTGCAATAGCTTTTCCCAGTATGCCCAGATTCCCAAATCTCCTCCTGCATTGTATCACCAAAAAAGGTGATCAGTAGAAATTTAGCAGCCTTCTATTTACTTCAACAGGGGAAAAAGAAACCCAAACCTGTTACAGTAAGCTGTTACCATCTCACTGTTTTTCAGTGAAGTTTCTTTGCTGCCCTTCCACAGAGCAAGTTCTCATCCACAAATCCCTTCACTGACAAGGAGCACTCAGAGCTTTCAAACACTGTTTTGTGATTATCTGGTTGTCAACCTGCATAACACAGGCCAGCACATTTCACATGGTACTTCTGCACTGCATCCCTCATTTTTGTGGGGAGTTTTAAAAGATCACAAATGAGCCTGTTGAAATCAGTTGGGCTTAATACTGGAGTAAAGTTCTGCTTGGCAAGGACAGCAAGAATACAGGCACATAACCTATAAGAAGTTACTGATCCATAATAAACTACTGTTTGAGTAAGGATAGATTAAAGGGGGCTGCATCGTGGGGGTTGTGTATCTGCCTTTTTCTGTACAGCTCTGAATACACAACTGGGAAATAAACCCTCCTGCTTTCATTGCTTTCCTGCTTGTGCACTGGTTTGTGCTTTATGGGCACACAGTGGGGACAAAAATCATTAAATCAGTAAAAAAGAAGCGCTGCTGCCTGAGTCACCTTGAGTGGAGAGTAGAGGAGATTTCCCAAGTCTTGGCAACGAGTTCGGTTGTCTGTGTCAGTAACTCCTGTTGTGTGAAGGAAAGGGGAACCCCAAGTTTGCACACTGAATTATAACATTAATTGAGAAGAGGATCAGGACTTGAAGGTTTTTGATCAGTAACATTCAAAGTTGCCTGCAAGCTGCTGGGAGCTGTAAAACATAAGTGGGTATGCATAACACAGCAGCAGCTTTACCACCCTCCATACTCAGGCAGAGTGCAGTGCTGCTGTGCATGTTATCTGTTGTTGTGCATATGCCCCTAAGGTGGGCGCTGGTGTGCCTGGTCCCAGTGTTCAAAAAGAGAAAGTAAATACGTATATATGGTGGGTCTGAAATACTGACACTGTTCTGGCCAAAGAAGCAATGCTGGGAGTTGGTTTTCAGTCTCTAGACCTGGCATTGGAGGTGGTAAGATAATAGTACAAGGCAGTCAAATTCAGATGTGCTTGCATGTTTGATATCATAGAATCACAGAATGGTTTGGGTTGGCAGGGACCTTAAAGCTCATCCAGTTTCAGCCCCCTGCCATCGGCAGGGACACCTTCCACTAGACCAGGTTGCTCCAAGCCCTGTCCAGCCTGGCCATGGATGAGGCAGCCACAGCTTCTCTGGGCAACCTGTGCCAAAGCCTCACCACCCTTCATAGTGAAGAACTTATTTCCAATAATAATCTAAATCTACCCTGTTTCAGTCTGTACAGTCCACTTTGCTCTGAGCAGACACACCTCAGTGCTGGCAGGGATTACTTTCTGTCTTTCTCCAGCAGCTGCACATTTGCTTCAGCCAAGTTTCAAGTTAGGGTCCTAATAAAGCCTTAGCAAAACACCAAACTGCAAACACAAACAAAAGAGAGAAAAAAGGATACCAATAAGTAATGTGTAAAATCCTGTTGTATGACTGCAAGAACATAGGACACTGGGAACTGCTTGTGAAGACCACTTGCTTTAAAAGAAGCTATCCCAGTGGAAATCACTTCAGAAAAGTGCTCCTGCTTTCCAGTGTTTCTGTGTGCACCCACGGTGTGTGGATGAGGAGTCAACATCCCTCCATATCCAAGTCCTGCCATTCTTGCTGAGTCAGGCAGGGAGCCTTGCAGGGGGTGAAAGGGACATTGTGAGACACAAGACCCTTTATTCAGGGAGAAGTTTTATTGCCTATTCAATACACTCCCAGAGCAGAGAACATGAGAACATTTACCTTGAGATTTAGGTTGAACGCTACAGTAATCCCGAACAATCCCAGAGTTCTCTATTATTGTTAGGTTTTAAGGAACAAGCCTAAACTGAGGAATGCTTTAGTTCTCTGTGTAACTGAGCTCATTGTTTAAGGTCTTGATTAATTTTTCTCTTTGTCAAAAACTCATGCTGTTTGCAAAGTCTGTGGGACTGGGCAGCCCTGCCAATACTGCTTCACTGCCCCTCTCCCTGGGGAAGTCCTTGGAAGCCGCTTCTGACCCCATGTTGTCCTGTAGGCAAACTGGATCTTGCAGGAAGTTTAACCGACACAATCTGAAGACTATGCCCTGACATGCAACAGCTTTTTCCAAACAGGATATTTATGGGTAGACCTCATGCATTTTGAGTTGAAGAAGCAAAATAAACCTTAAATGCAGATCTCTCTCCTGGTTTTTCAGCTTCTCCTTACTGGCTTTGGTGGTAGAAGGTTTTTTTGGTAGCCTGCCATAGGCTCTCCCTCTTTAGTCTCACATTTATTTCTACACCATGGGAGGCTTATCATTCCCTTTAATATCTTTCTTATCAGTACTATAGAATGGGCTATAGCCTTTTCAGGTTTCTAGGGAAACAATTCCTCGTTTAACTTCTGATCCAACGTGTTGGCAAACCGTCCTTTAAAATCACAGAGAAGCAAGAGCTACAGGCACAACAATTCTCATTTCACGGTATCTCATGTCAGATATAACTGCGGAGGAGCAATACATAGCATGTGTCTCTATTTGGTGTTTACATAAACATGCAACATTAATCTCTCTAGTACAAAATAGGCAAAATATAGAGTTAAGATCGACAGTGAGATCCCTTCCTTCTGCTGCTTTAACCCTGCAGTTTTAAGTCTCGAACAAGAGGATTTGATTCCATGGTGCTTGAAATCGAATACAAAGCAACAGGGCTGGTCTTAGCGGTGGGTATCAGCTCCCCCCAGAAACTCGAGGTCATGTAACGTTTACAGATAATTGGGACAGACTTTCAGTTTTTGTTCGTTGTTGATGCCTTTCCACCCACTCGCAACAGTGGTGCTAAGTCCCCCTTGGAAAAATCCCTTCCAAACGCTCATTACTTGCTGCCTGCAGGATTAACTGCGATTTTCCCGTTAGCGTAAATAATGCGCTTCCCCGCTAGATGTCATTGTTGCTTCTGCAAATCACATCGGGTTTGATTAAAAGCATTTAATAAAGGTCCCTCATTTAGACAGGCCTTCACCACACTGAGGAGAGAGTCCCCTACCTGCTGGCAATGGGACGAAACGCTTTCTGTAAGAGTTCTGTACCAAAATGCTTTTGACTCCCCTGTCAAGATTTGTCATGTCAGTATGTGTCACCAGGAGCACACCTACTACCCCTGCGCCTGGTGCCGTGCTCCAAAAGCCCACTAAGATCATTGGAGTTGTCTAATTTTCTTTGCTTTGTTGGAAATAAGGCTGTTTGTAATTAAATATGACCCACAGCACCCCAGTTTCACACAGCCATAAAGTCCCTGTGGATTTCAGTGCCTGTATCCTGACAAGTTGCTCTGGTTTGAGGGTCCAGCAGCCAGCGCTGGCACGGGGCAGGGTCCTGGCTTCAGCAAGAGCCTGCTCTGCAGGAGCAGAAGAGTGTTTGTCATTTTAAATGTGTTCAGTTACCTGGTTAAGGATAGCTCAAGAAATTGACAACTGAAAAAGCAGGAAAACTTGTTTTCTCCCTTTTACGTAAGAAGACAGCTGAGAAAGAGAACTAGCACTTCTGGAACCTTGAGATCCAGAAAAAAATCTACATCCAGTTACAAAGAAAGCTTGTTTATTGAATAAATCAGTTTTAATCTTTTATAAAGTATGAGTTCTGTGTCTTGTATATATCCAGTACAGGTAGGATATCTTTATAGTAAAAATACATCTTTAAGCACTTGTTTACTCATTTTTAATTGCAACCTGACCTCCATCCAGTCTGACCCAAGTGAAAAATAATATTGTTAACAAAAAGCATCATTTGATATTTCTAATAGTTTTATTAAAAAGGTAATTAGGAATCTGAATAAATCCATATGGCATACATACTCACTTGAATAAGTAAAACCGACAGGTACCCTCCTGGTTAGTCACATCTAATTAATTCTAGCAGTTGTTGAAATCAATATTTCTTTAAAAATTGAAATAATCCTGGAGACTCAATGTAAAAAGAAAATAAAAATACCAGATAGGTTTTTAAAATTAAGATTTCCTGATTGCTGAACTCTGTCATTGTTAAAGTTCATCTTTTCAGTCCATCCCTGGAATATACTGTTAATTGTCTCTTCTAAATACAATGCACAGGAGGCAGTTACCCTTTTGCAGCTACATCTCTGGATTCAGCTTTTTCATTAAAAAAATTTCGAAGTCATCATGAAAATGAAGGATTGGTAGCATTGAAAATGAAAGGTTGATGGCATGAACCAAACATGAGCTATGAGCAACTTCTGTTTGTATTTCAGCTCTGGCCTTTTACCCCATTCCCATTTCACTTCTGGACTTGCCTGAAGTGAATAAGGAGAACTGAGCCAAATTATACAGTGAACTTTGTTATTAAAACAGCATGGGATAATACTTTGGACTTGAGAGAGATTTACATTTTGGTTTAGACCATGGTGGCAATGGAATAACGGCATCTCTGTGTCACACAGGGCTTTCTTTGGGCCTATCTGGCACTAGCAGATAAGTTGTTTCATTGCTCCAGCAAGTACATGCTCTCCCACATCCAGCCTACCTTTGTCTGCAGTACCAAGAGTTCAGTTTTGTCCTAAAAGATGTGTTCTGTTATAGAAATACAGTCCGTTCACGCACACCTACCTGCAGCTTGTTTGCATTGCTGGAATGACCTTGACCTGGCTTTTTGTTCCACGCTGGTGAAATATCTGGAGCCCTGCGCTGCACCTCGCTACACAAGTGAGTGCTGCCACATGGCAGGACAGTTCATCGCACATCTGTGTGTGAGCATCAGTGTCTGCCTGCTGGCTGGCACTGCAGGTCTTGCTGTAGACCAACTCTGCTTCAAGGTCATATTGGAGGGGTGGCTTTAGGGTACAGCTCAGTGCATCAAATGCTGTCAAATCCAGCTCCCCTGATCCCTCGCGGTGGTGCTTACTGGCACAGTGAGTCACAGTGTGCAACCAGCCCAGACAGAAGCTATTTTTAATTTCTGCAATGAACTGTTGGTTGCTTCAGCTCCCTGAAGGGCAAGATTGCTGTGTGGTCAGTGCCAGTGCTGCAGTCCTGCCCAGCCACACGTGTCATGGGGAGGGGAACAGGGACCCAGCCATCCACGCTGAGGCCTATGGGCAGGTAAATGGGTTCAGCCACATCAAAAAAAACCCATGCTTAAAATTACTACCTTTGCACTGCAGCTGTGATGACATGACCATGGGATGAACTTGTTCAGTATGCTCTTCTGATTGATCAGAAGCATCCCAAAAAGTACCTCCATGAAAGAGCAGAATAGAATATTTCAGCTGGAAAAGACCTACAGCCATCACCTAGTCCAACTGCCTGACCACTTCAGGGCTGACCGCAAGTTAAAACATGTAATTACAGGCATTGTCCAAATGCCTCTTAAATACTGATGGTCTTGGGGCATTAACTACCTCTCTAGGAAGCCTGTTCAGTGTTTGATCACCCTGTCAATAAGGAAAGGCTTCCTGCTAGTCTTCTGTTGGATCTCCTAGTTGAACTGACTCACCTTGGCAGCCTCTCATCACTAAATCTGGTGTAGGATGGAAGAAGAGGACACAGCTAGGGCGGCTCAGGATGTGATCACCCTACTGTGACTGCCCTGCTTAGGTCAGCGGAAACAAAATGCTGGGTCATGCTCACCTACGTGGACAGAGCTGCCAGAACCTGCAGCCTGCGCCCTGCCTGCCCCCCCCTTCTCTGATCGATCAGCCATGGACCCTTGCAGTGACTCCAACCACCCAACTGAAAACCAACTACATGCCTTTTTTCCTGACAATTCTGCAGCTGCATTGGCTCATTTAAGCTGGGATTTATGGCTCCCACATGCACCAGTCCTGGTGCAGAGATGTGAACAGCATCCGGCTAGAGGTGGTGGGGAAGGACAGAAATGCCTCTTGGAGCAGCAGCAAGGTTTTCTGTCAGCTGCCCTCCACCCAAGCTCTGGCCCTGCCAGGAGTTTATCATTCTTCACACTCAGGTTTCCCCCCTCCTTGACCTGCTCCTTCTCATCTCTGTGAGCTTCTGCTCTGCTGGGGACTCCTCTGCTCCTGTCTTCCTCTGGATGCTCACTGGGACCATCTTGCTCCAAGTCCACCAAACCCTGAGAAGCCTTAAGCATCAGTTCGACTAATTTAGGCTAGAACAGGTCCAACCTCCACCTGCCTCCATTAGGAACAAGCTCCTGCATGAGCGCCCATAATGAGTCTATTGGCTCTGACACCTCCAGGGATGTGCACAGGCTCCTTTTACCCCTTTTTCTGCTACTGGCAGTGATATGCCCCTTTGCCACAGGAGAGTCTTGGATTTTATGCACTGCAAATCCTAATAATAACAACCCCCAGAAGAACTGCAAGCATCACAACATTTCTGACCTGCAAGGCGTGCTTCTTTGACCTTTTTCCAGTGCAAGCAGTATACGACACATGATAATGTACTGCCCTGGCCTATATATCAGTGGATATTATCCAGAAATTAAAATTTGGAAAGAGCATTTATTTTGTTTCTGCAGAATAAGGGCCAGGGATTCACTGTACAGCAGATGCCCAGCAGCCCAAAGCTGGAGGGGGCAGCTGAGCACTCTGCTGCACACCAAGACCCAGTCTTGGTAGCTTGTATCCAAGTACGTGATCTGGGACTTTCTGCAGGACAAGTCCACGTCACGAGCAATTTAGGAGCAATAATGAGTGGAGTAACCCTGATTGGCAAAGGAGACAAGGGGTTATCACTGCCCTTCAAGGATGAGGGAGCCCAAAGCTGGCTGCAGGAGGTGCGATTGTTGGTCTCTGAGAGCTGGGCTTGCCTAGGGGCTGGCAGCCACTGTGGTGGGTGAGCTCACCCTGACAAGTTGGCTGTGGGGAGCAGCATCCCCAGGGTGGGAGAGGTGTGGGGAGAATGGGGGCTGTGGGGTCCCACCCCGGGGCCCTGCAGGGCCTGGGATGTGATGACAGCAGTGCTGCACTGATCCTAGTAATTTAACCCCACCTTTGTTCTGCTACCAGCTCTTTTTGTGGTCATTTTCCTTTCCTTTGTTTGAGGTGCGTGGTGACTGCTGACAGCCCACAGCTCCATGGCTGGGCTAAGTGCAAAACAGTGTTTTTTTCCCCTGCCAATTGCAAGCAAGGTGTTCTGCAGTCAGCCCCGGGCAGAGGAAGTGCAAGCAAACCTGTGACCAGTACTAACAAGTGGCTGGTGGCTGCCCCCATGTGAGGGGCTGGTGGTACATACACTGCTGCAGAGCAGAAGGTCCCCCAGCACCCGGCACTGGTGCCTTCATAGCCAAAAATAGCTGGGCCTGTTGCAGAAGAGGAATACTGCCAGGGAGCAGGGGCCACATTTCAAGGGACAGTCTGTCACACAGAAAACACAACAGCATCTTATTTAGCATGCATTTCCCTTGGTTTCAGGAAAACTATTTACAAATAAATACCAGATATTTTGCTCAGCATAAGAGGAGTTGGCTAAAATCCTGCTGTGCAGCTGCACAAGTGTTTGGTAGCTCAGGATCCTCACACTGTTTTTAAGGGAGAAGACGTGTCACCTAATGCTGCTTTTAAAATAGACCAGTGTATAAATGAAAGAGCACTTTAAGGACTCTGGGTGTTGCAGGACAGCGAACAATATGGGAGCTGTCCCCACACAAATTATAGCAGATGACAGTTTACCAAATATACCTGAAGTGCCAAAACAAACAGCAGTAAACACCAAAACAAGAGGTCACTGAAGCCTGTCTTCCATGCACCACAACTTTTCTTTCTGATCTGCAAGGTATTTTCTATTATAGAGTGTATGCAAGTGTCTGCTGGGGAGATGGATTCCCCCCTTGGAAAACACTATCAGTTGTGCCTTCTAGGGACAGTGCAATATCTCATTATAGTCCCTACCTATCCCTGTGACCAAAAAAGTCACAGTCACCCACAAAATCTTACACTGAAGACAACAATATTAAATGGGCAAGGACTGAGACTTTCGAGCTAGAGACCATTATAAATTGGAAAATAATAAAGGCAATGAAAAGTTAATTGTATCTCTTGCCCTGAAGTACATTTCAGATCCTGTCTGCTTTCCAGGCTTGTGCATAAATATGCATAATTCTGCATCTTTAATTGAAATATGTATTCAGCTTAGCTGTCTTTCTGATGACAGCTCAGTGGAGTTACACTGTTAATAATCGTAACAGTTATTCAGTGGTATTGCAGTCCTGCTATGAGAGCTGAGCCATGCTCTAAGAATATAGAAACCTCGAATCAAAATATATTCCCAGCCCAAGAGCTGAAATCCAATCATAAATTACATAGTAAAAAACCCTTTTCTTTCCTTTGTATGAAAATATCAGCCTAAGGGAGTCAGGAACCCACATCAAACTGAAACTCTTAGAAACCATAAATTTAATTCCCTCGGTCCTTCTTGCAAAGCCCGGCCAACTGCGTCAGCACTAAAATAATTATTTTAGTGGGATTCTTACATAGGCCCCTGCACAGGTCTCATCCCAAGTAAAAGCAGTACAGATCAGGGCAGTATCCAGGCAGGCTCATGTTCGCCTGAGCCTTGCAGACAAAATCCTGAACTCAAATGCATGGAAGATTGCTGTTGCTAATCTTATTTCACAGGAAAAAAAACATGTACTTCAACCAGCATCTGGCAAGATACAAGCTGTTAACTTCTGACTTAGAAGAAATGTTGTATGCATAAACTTCATTGGCTGGTGAAGTTTCTGGAACTACCTTTTTCCTTTACAATTTTGAAGATGCAGCCTGAATTCCCCTTTCTGTGCTATCAATCACTGCCCAGTGGCAACAGAGCTGTAGACATTTCATAGGCCACAAAACCAGAATGGGCTTAATCCTCTTCTCACACTAGATTTACATTTGTGTTACTGTTAGTAAAGTTTGCAGCAAAGATGTTGACAGGGCTGAGGGCTGGCTGGGGTCCAAGGGCACTAATTTTTAAAGGTGGTGATCAGGATTAGTAAACCCTGCTTCCAAAAGAAGCCTTAGCCCCACTTCCTACCCTCAAGAGCTTTTTTGTTCTCAATTTAATCATCATTAAGAATTGGCTGTAGCCACCCAAGACATGTATGTGTTGCAGTGGAAGCAGAGGCAAATCAAACCCCTGCTGCCTGAGAGCTGCTGGAGGGAGCCCTACTCTGATGATGGAGGTGTGAGAAGGGTGCCCTGCATAGTGTGAGCGGGAGGCACATGCTGATGTTGTTTCTGTAGTCCTCAGCCCAGGTGTCCTAGAACTATCAAGACCTGCAACTACGGAGAAAGAGGCTTTTCCTGGAGGTGGCAAGGAAAGGGAAAAGGCTGTCAGGAGATTAAAATAGCCTCTGCTTAAAGTGAAACTACTGTAGGTCTTGGCTGAGCCTAAATAAAAGGGCTTCAGAAGTGAGAGGAGGCCATCAACTAAAACAGTGCATAAGACCTTGGGTGCCTTTTGCTGTCCAGTTCTGCTTTACAAGCACTGGGGCTTGCAGATGGCCTATTGGAGCTATTTTGCAAAGAAGCTGCTTACCAGTGGCTGTCATTTCCTTGTATATCCTGCAGGTTTCTGAATCCAGACCTGGCATTTGACACCTATGCCCTGCTTTTCCAGCTTCTGCTATGGTCACCTGAATAGTGTTTCTTGGCAGGCTCCTCTCACCCAGCTTCTGAAAAATAGAGCCAAAACTGAGATGCTAAACTGGTGGTGGGTACAGTGTGCCTGGAAGGTATCAGTCCACCTCGGAGCATGAGGGTAAGTGGATAGGACCAGTGTGATCTCGACCGCAGCCTCGTCACAGTGCTCTTACAAATACACTGCAGTACAAGTGCTGCAGCAGCGACAGTCTAAGGATAGGAGAGGTGATATTTTTTATTAGAATGGCTAATGTAAGTGAAAAAAAGTGGTTAAACTTCTGGGTTTAAGATAAGAGGATTCTGAGCCCAAAACCTTTGTGAGTTTAGCGATGAGATCTTGCTAAGGTCTAAAGGTCCATAAGACCATGACCCAGTCTTATCAGGAGCCTAACAGATTCATAGAACAGTCTGCTAAGCCCACAAAGCCCATCAGGAATGCAAGGCTTCAGGTGGGATCCAAAAAGGCACTTTAGCAGCTGATGCAAGAGGTGGACAGGTTGGAGGTTCCTCAAGTAGAAACAAGTGATCCAAGAGATTCCACTTAGCTGGTTTTGAGGGCTGGGAGAGCTCAGCTTTGAATTTTGATTTTCAGGGTGGAACCTGAAGTTACATCTCTTTGTGTAACAAACTTACTTTGCACCTAACTAAGAAAGTGGGGCACTTTGGAAGATGGGAAAATGTAGACTGGAAACCTTTATTCATGTACAGTGCCAGCATTATAAATGCAGCAGAATGAGCCCTGCCCGGTTCAGATTGCAGATGCCTGTCTTCAGGAGACACTTCGCATGAGCGGAGGCCGATGCCTCTGCTCTGAAAGATTTTGGGGTTCACATCAAACTGTCAGTTCAACATTAAGATAGCTACCCCCTTGAAACACCCCACTTATGCAATGCTGTACAGGAAGATGTAAGTGTAGGCTCATGGATGCTGCTGTAAGGTTCAGTCACTAATTTGTCAGTGTAGAAGTCTTCAGGGGAGAAAGGGAACTGAAGAAAAGGTTAGGATATTTACTTTGAGAAGTGTAGATTTACTAATTATGAACCTATTCCAGGAGATTTACTACAGATTTGCTGTGACTTCAGTGTTAATAACCTGTTTTTCAATTTTGGAGCTCTGCTGCTGTCCTTAAATTAGCCCATGACCTAACAAAAGCATTTAAGCATGTACAGCTTTAGTCATCTACATGTTTCCACTGACTTCAGCAGGAAAGATCAGGTGTTAAAGGCAGCATCCATGCCTAAGTGGTCTGTCTGCTGGATTGCCATCTTACGCACTGGAGACAGTGTCATACGTAATGTTTAGATTAAATGGGAGGAGAAGAGTGAGCATTTCTAACATGACTACAGTCAGATTTCCTTCTATGTTTTGCACAGGAAAATAGTATGCAAATGCTGCACATGCCTACATGGATTCAACCTTTCTTTCCTCTTTTTTGGTGTCTCCAGTTCTGACAAACAAGTTGCCTGTGACTGCTGAAGAGAAATTCTCCCTGAGGTTTTGGGCCATGGGGAGAGGCACTGCGGATTTAGGCAGACCCCTGTTTGCCTGCTTCTGGCTACACTTTCCTACTCTAACACTCTTCCTCCAGTTGCACAGTGGAGATGAGGTGATTTGTGCTTGGGAACTGAGCCAAAATAACTCAGGTGGGGAGTGCGCCGCTTTTTTAAAGAAGCCTCCCGGTCTGTTTCACGACACAATGGCACAAAGAGCTGCACCCGCACAGTGAAGGAGCATAACCCAACCACTCCATCAAAGTGCTGCTACCAAAAATGATGTCTGCAAAACCACAGCCTTGTTGTCTTATTTTCTTATTTCCTTATTTCCTGTGCCAGCAGCATGGAAGGTGGAAGAGTCCAAACGTGAGTTCCTACTCTCACCCCTCCCTCTCTTTCCCAATCCTTCTCTCTCCTGTGAGGGATGGGGTGAGTAGAAAACAGCTGAGCATGGAGGCTGATGTTTCTGGCATGGCACAGATGCCTTGTTCTTTTGCTGTATCATCCTGTTCCCAGCTCCAGCTTGTGCTGTGCATTCCTGTCCTTGTGCTGGACCCTGCTGCCCCCTAGTCATGCTGACTAGTGTATGTCCACACTGCAATCAAATCCTGGGAGCAATCCAGCTGAAAACAAGTATTCTTCTTCCAGGCTAATTTTTCTTCTGGCTTCCAGCTCCCCTGTGCAAGCATGGCACAGGGCGATGCACACAGGGAAAGAGGAGAGTCACTAGGCCAAAGGTTTGTAGCAGACTACAGAGCAAACATGACTTGAAGTATCCAAACAAACTCGGTTTACACAGCCATCACTACCTTTCACAGTTAACACTATCCAGTGGACTTGGGGCATTTGATCTCCCTCCAATGCTGGAATCTAATAGTGCAAATTCTGCATTACAAAAGGAATATCCTACCACAAAGCTCATGCCGTTCACCCACGTGGGGTCTGCAAGTGTGAGCGACTTGGATGCCTTGTACGAGAGATACCCAGCTTCGAGTTTGCTGCCAAAGGTGGTGTGGGAAGGCTGGGGCAAGACACACTGCTTAACTGACCATACATGTGTTGAGGAGTCACATGGGAATTGTGAGGGTCTCTCATCCTCACCAGAGTTATCTTCAAATTGTTGGTCATAGCTTGCACTGCTGCTCTGCAAGTCTTTCCCCCAGTGCGCCATGTATCCATGCAGGCATCTTGTTCTGGACACCCGTGGGCAGTAGGCGAGAGCCCTGCTCACACAACTTTCATCTGTTCACCTTCCACAAAGGCTGACCCCATGGCAGTCACTTGCTAGCTTTGCTGACAGCACCCATATACCTTTCAAGGCATTAGTCTGAGCTCAGGGCTTTAGCAGCTCCTAGCTGGAAGGCTGTGTGTAAAAAGAGATGAAAGTGAATTTTCAGAGTGCCAGGCTGTACTAAGTAATCAAGAGCCAAGAAATATGTATGTAAAGTAGGCATATGTGACTTAATTCTACCTTTGTGTCATGCACCTATTTTAAATAGTATTACTATGTAATTGCTTGCATTATGCCTGTCCAATAATACCATTTAGTGTTAGTAATACTTAGTGTCGTATCTTCAAAGTGGTTTACAAGGTAGTTATGAAATGCATAATTTAAGTGAAAACAAGCACCTTGGGGTGGGACCTGTGCTGGTGTTTGACAAAGCCTGGCAGGTGCCTGCAGTGCTGTGTAGCTCTGTGATACATAGCAGGGTTAAACTGGTGAGAGGAGCATGGAGTGACAGTGCAGGTGGTGTTCTTCAAGGCAGAAAAGTTCAAGACTCCATGAGACTTCTTCTGAATTTGATGGCAGGTGGAAGAGATTCAGATGATCAAGAGGGGTTTGAAATAATTCTTCAAGTAATAGAGCTTGGGTTTGAAACTGCATCTTCTTCTTTCTTAAACAGACTGAAATCTGGCAGTCAAAAGTACTGTATCAGTCAGAAACGCTTGTTTCGCTTCAAGGACATGTTAAAGCAGCCGTAACACAGAAGTTAGGAGACTACAGCACAGCTTGAATGCAGTCCTTTGCCTTCAACCATGTCCATGGAGTATTGAAAACAACTGTGTCAGAATACAAACACTAATTAATCCTCAATAAAACAGGTAAACAAAGTACACAAAGAGCACTCACAGGTCAATTTGCTGCAAGGACAGCATGAATTGCTGCAGGTGTTTTCCAACTCAGGGCAATCCTGACCAGCTTTGACAGATGTGTCCTTGTTCTTGGGCTCCAGCTGAAATAACACTCAAAAAGGTGCAGGGGTCACTTTTGCCTGGAGAAGAAAAATTTCCTTACATAAAATCTGGGCTCCAAATCTGGCAGAGTTTCTTCAGACACATCTGTGGGTAAAAGCTTGAGCAAGTAAGTGTATTTGGCTTTGTAGCCTTCAAATACAGGACCTCAGTTCCACGTTTAAGTCAATGTTTTATCAGCACAGGTGGAGGAGAAATATGATGTATTAGCACTGGCAGGAAGCAGCTTTTGGTAAGTTCCAGTTTTCTTTGGATAGCCAGTAAACCTCTGCGTAGGTAAAGCAAACCTCAATCTCAGTATTTGTGTCCTCTCACTTTGTTACAGCCAAAAATTATCCAGTATCAAATGGAGCCAATCTAATAAATTCCTTCTTTCTCCAAAACCCTTCCTCTGAAGTTCTGAAGAGCCCCTGATTTGCTCCATGTTCACATACCTGGTCCCCATCTAGAGTTCTGGCTGGGCAAGTCCAGGTGATACTGTCCCTAAAACTGAGGGAGGTCTGAATCTTGGAAGAGGAGGGAAAGTGCTCATGCCTGGGATGCGTGCGTAAGCTGGAGGGAGCCGGGCCTGAGGAGAGCTATGGTCGCTGTGTAGGAACCAGAGAGGTCTCCAATTTGTACCCACTTATATTCCATACCTTCTAAATCTGATTCAGGGGTGCTGCAGATTTGCGAAGTATTTTATTTCTTTATATCACCAGGGACCCCAAATCTTCCCAGCCCATAAACCGATTCTTAACACACTCTGTGGACCTGCCTGGCTGTTCCCAGGGGGTGGGAGCAGCGGCACCGTCCCGATTAGCGCTGGGAGGGAAAACACCTGGAACTCCCAGCATGAAACCCAAGCCTGAGGACATGCGTGCCTGGGGAGCCGGGGGTCCTCCCCTTTCTCTCGCTGGGGCACCCCACGGAACACGCACGGCAGCCGGTTACTGGGGGGTTCTGGCAGGGAACTGCCGCCCCAGGGTAGGGAGCAAAGCCGCGGCAGCTCCTGCCTGCCTCAGATCTGGGTGCGGGGCTCAGAGCCCGCCCCGCTGATCCCCATCCGGCAGGACGGGCCCTCCCGCGGCAGCGGCGGGAGGCGGAGCGCGGCCGGCCCGGGCTGGACTGGGCTGGGCTGCGGGGGCCGCAGCCGCGCCGTCTTCCCGCCCGCGGGCGGTGAGCGCGCTCGCTCGCTGGCAGTGGTCGGGGCGGGGAGCGGCCGGTCCCTCCTCCTCCTCCTCCTCCCAACCGCCCGCTCGCCCTCGCCACCCGCGCCCGCCGCCGATGCCGGGACTGCGCCCGCGGTGAGTCTGCCCGCCCGCGGGAAGTTGCTGC